TTATTTGCTCTCATTTCCCCCGCCTTGGAAAACTAATCTGCTGCTAACTCAGGAGGGCTCGGGAGGCAGATAAGCCAAAAGACAACCTCAATAAAAAAGAGACCAAAAAATGAGAAACTCTCGGTGTTGGAGCGCGGAGCGATAGACCCAGCGATAAGCAAGCAGAGCCAGCAGCAAACAACGTCCCCCCCGGCGGTGGGGCTCCGGGACCACGGTGCAAGGTGCTGCGCAACGGTGCCACGGGCCAAGGACAGCGAACCCTGACGCCGGCGCCCCGGGCCCGGCCGGGCCCCAGGACAGACGGGCACAAGCTCAGTTACTGCAGGGGCTTAGGAAGGAGGGCAGGCAGGTCCCGTGCCCTGGCCCCAGGACAAAGTCTCCGCTCTGGTGGGCACAGCCCAGCTGTCCCCCATCCCCGGCACGGCACCCAGTCTGCTCCAGCACCCGGCCTGCTCCGGCTCTGCGTCCCACAGCAGCTGGCACGTGCCGGCGAAGCAGCCAGAGAGCCGGTCGCTGGAGAAGAGCGGTGCGGCGGGTGGAAGTGCGCCGGTGGGGTGGGGGCACAGCCCCACCACCGCCCCCGCGGAGAGCCGGGACTCACCGTTCTGGGTCAGCTTCGTGGAGCAGACGAGCGTCGAGATTTGGAAGCTGTCCCGGCCACACGGTTAGCCCGACGTGCCCCCGCTCACGCGGACGGAGGAGCCGGAGAGGAGCTTCGGCTCCGAGAGGTTCCTCGTGGAGGGCAGGGCAGGTACGCGCCGGCATCCTCCAGCCTCCGGCTGTCACCTGCAAGGCAGAGCGCGGCTCACACCGGGCGCGCAGCCCGCCCGCGGGAGCCCTGTGGGCTCAGTTTCGACCCCCCGTCATGACCCCTGCGTGGGGGGACATTGCAGAGTGGGGCAGGCAGGAGGTCACCGGGGCCCGCGCAGGTCACGCCGGCTCCCACCTAACGGCATCCTCACGGCTTGGAAAGCTCCGGCTGACGGGAGTCACCGGGATGTGGGCGCTGGCCCCGGGGAATCGCTGCCCGCGGTGCAGAGCCCTGTGCGGGCAGCGCAGCGGGTTTGCCTGACAGTGATTTCAACCGAGCATCCGACAAAACTGTTTCCCACGGGGCTCCGTGCTGCTCAGCTGAGACAACCGACCAGGAGTTAACGAACCAAACCCCGGCCAGTGCCACTCGGGGAGGACACAAGAACCGGCGAGAAGGAAAGCGTGGGGGGAGGCCTGAGACATGGAGGACCCTGGGGCCAGGGAGCAGCACGCCGGGAATAAAACACGCACCTGAGCACGGCCGTGGGGACGGACACACAGCGGGACACCGACCAGGCGGCTGGCGCCGTCCCACGGCATCACCGTGACCAGCCCGGTGGCCAGGGTCTCTCCCCACGGCGGCAAAACAGACTATTCTGTCCCCTACTCTTAAACTGAAGAATTAGGACAACATTACATATAGGAGGACTCACTGGGGCAAATTTCTAAATGGCCTTTCCATTCTCATTTGCCAAACTGGGACACAGCGGCTGGCCGGAGCTGGCCGGACACGCAACGACAGACTACAGCCGTGCCGCTGTGAGCTCACCAGCGCTCGCTTACAGCTTGGCAAGGGGCATTTCTCCTTCCCTGCCTGCAGCCCTGCATGATAAAATCCTTCCTGCTGAAAGTCAGATGAAGATCACAAAATTGTTTGTTGTTGGCTTTTCTCTCCACCGAGCATACCCACGGCGACCAGCTGAATCGCAGGAGGCACTGCACTTCTTCCGGGGGCAGCTAAGCCCACGTAGGGTAAAATGGCTTCGTTTCAGACCTTTCTCAAGCAGCATGAGATCAAGAGGTCTGAGGATCTAAAAGCATATAATTCACATTCCTCTGGCAAACAGAGATAAAAATATGAAATAGCTTCTGACTCCCAGAATCAAGCCCCGGTGTTTGCCGGGAAGAGCAGGAGTCAGCTGGGGAGAAGACAAAGCGGAGCACGCTGGCTCTCACTTGCTTAGGGGCAGAGGACGCTGGTGAACGTGACGGTTCAGTGAGGGCAGCAGCAGCCCGTTAAGGAGAAAACACTTCCAAGAGGGAGGCGTGCAGGGTTTGAGCTGGCGAGTCCCGAAGGCGCTCGGTGCTCCTGCTGCAGCGCAGGCTGCGGAGGGGACGGTCCCCCGGCCAGCCAGGGACCGTGGCTGCAGCGCTGCAGGCCACGGCAGCGTTTAAAGAATTGGGGTGTTTTGCCCAAAAAGAACGGGGAGGAGGGACACAGTAACAAGTTCACCTGTGTAGGAGGAGGTGCTGGGGAAGAAAAGCACGGCGCTGGCCCCGTCGCCGGGCTGGGCAGGGCAGGGCACTGGGGTCCCTGCGCGACCGAGGTCGGGCACCACGAGGGCGGCGGATGAGGGCGATGGCAGCGCCGGGACGGGGCGGGAGCGACCCTGTCCCGTCACCAAAGCGTGCCCGAGAGAGGACGGCTTGGGGAGGGCTGGCCCTGCCGCGGGGCGGGAAGTGGACAGGGCGGCCCTGGCACGGACGGACAGACGGCCAGCAGAGATCAGCGGGGCAGCGATGTGAGCGCAGGGCAGGAGCGCACCGGGGTGACACCGTGTCAGATCCACAGCACGGTCCTCCAACGTGGGACGATGGTGAGCACGCCTCTGCTGCCGGGACGTTATGTAGCTGCAGAAGCAGCGTCGGGGAGCTAAGAGGGAGATGGGGTGAGGAGGAGGAGGAACTCCTCCATCAAGCTCATGGAAAAGTTGGCTGAGGCCAGTGCACAGCTGCTACAGCAGGCGGGAGGCAGATCTGCTCGTCCCAAGAAGATGCAGGGCTTGAGAAGGGAGATGTGTCTACCTCAAGTAACTGTGGTCACATCGTCAGGAACAGCAGGGATAATTAGAGAAAATGTCAGTTAAATACCAGAGCAGCCAAGGGGCTGAGGTGGGACGGTCACCTCCCGGGGAGGCTGGAGCTCCACTGCCAGCGAGGAACACTGAAGTGGCGCCGACACACAGAGAAAGTGTCCTGAGCTCGGCCTTGCAGCAGGGACCAGCTCGCAGCTCCCGCTCCCCTGGCCGCAGCCAGCCCCAGCACGGGAGAGGGGGACACCAAGTTCAAGGGGGTGTGGTGCTCACAGGCTCTGCCATCAGAGCCCACTCTGTTTTTCCCAAATAAACAGTGAATTTTCCCTCCTCATGTTCTCTCTCAGAAGAAAAACCAGGCAGATTTAGGAAGAAGAATGCTGGTGAAATCAGGTAAAGCGCAGCAAATGTCTTCATGGGATGTTCTCTCCCGAGTCAGAAAAATTTAAATTACCTTTGTCTAAACAAAAGCTGTCATTTGCAAGGAAGCAGCACAGAGATTGGAGATGCTGTGTGCAGGGAGCTGTGGCAGGAGCCCCCACCACCAAGGACAGAAAGGATGGGAGGCAGGGAGGGACTGGAAACCCTCCAGGGGACTTTGGGTACGCGCCACCAGCGTGCAGCTCTGGCAGGGACTGGGACCCCAGCCCCACGCCGCCAGCTGCCAGGAGAGCTGCCATCCTGCATCCTCCCCGCTTGGAGGGGGGGCCTGCCTGCCCCCCAGTACCTTGTACAGAACCAGGTCGTGCTCGCCGTCACGCAGCGTGGTGCCGTCTGGTCGCATCAGCTTCACGAAGGCCATGGAGAAAACCCGCTCACTTTTGTCTTTGGCTGGGGGAGACAAACGCGGGGCGAGGTGAAGCTGCCCTGGAGGAGCCCGGCTGGTGCCGCGGGCGGGGAAAGGGCAGCCCAGCCCGGGCTCCTGCCCTCCAGGGTCTCCTGCCCTCCAGGGGCTCCTGCCCTCCCAGCAGCCAGAGCGGTCCGGGGCTGCGGGGAAATCGCTTTTCCTTCCCTGGAGCCCGCAGGCTGTGCCCCTGTGCAGCGAGCCCCCCGGGGCACCCGGGAGAAGCGGCTGTTTGGGAGCCCCGGAGGGGGCGAGATGGGGGAGACAGCAGTGGGGAGCTGATGTGGAGCCAGCGGAGCTGCCCGCGAGGGCTGCCCGGGCCCGCGGCCACCAGCCGCCGCCGCGGGAACAGGACAGGCTTGGGGCGGGCAGGATCAGGCCGCCGAGCAGCAGCCTCAGCTGCAGGTGTCCGCAGCGGCCCTGGGGAAGGTCCCTGCAGTCGCAGGACGAGCTGCACAACCTCTCATCGTGTGTGGTTTTCAGCTCCGCGAAGGCAGCGGCCGCAGCACCCCTGCGCCGGGGGCTGCCCGTCCTCCCGGCCCCGTGCCGCAGCCCACGGCCCTGCTGCCGCCAGAGAGCCACGGGATGCGGAGCGGGTGCTCCGGAGAGCCAAGCACAGGCACCCAGGGAGCGGCTGCTGGCAAGAGGCAGCGGGTTCCCAGGGGTCTGGTGCCTCACCACGGGCAGGGGGACTGAGCAGGACCGGGGAGCAGCTTCCTCCCTCCCGCCTGAATCCAGCATCCCTGATGTGTCCCCACCCGGTGCGAGACGAGGACCGCGCACGGGGCCCTCCCGACCCTGAGCTGCAGACAGCCCACCTCCACCGCAGCCCTTGCTGGGAATGTTAGCGGAGGGAGACCTGAGGAAAGGAGATACTTACAGTCGCTGGAGGAGCGGTGCCGGAAGGTGAATCTCAGGTGGCTCTTGTGGACGTCTTCAATGGGAACAGCAATCTGAGAGAGAGAACGTGCCTGCGTGAGGACAGGAGGGCGCGGGCTGAGCGACCTGGCTGGCCAAGACCCCTCATATGCCTGGGCAAGGGCTGTGCTGAACTGCCAGTTGCTTAAATCCAAACCCACGTGCTTTCCTTTCAGTTAATGAGGCTGAGTTGGAGACAAAGGTGTCTGTGCAGGGCTGGGGGTGTCTGTCCGTGAGCCCGCGGGGAGAGGCAGGAGCGATGCAGAGCACTGCCGTCGATGCAGCCGGAGCCCCTGCCCCAGCACAGCTCCTCGGCGGGGGCGGTGGGCATCGCCCCCCTCCTGCGGGTCACCCTGCATCTCCAGCCAGGGGCTGAGCCGTGACGCCAGCAGCACCTCCCGTCCTCCCCGAGCCGGGACTTCGCCCCCTGAAAAGCTAGCCCTGGCGGGGGGTCCCCCGCCAGCAGCCCCGTCCTGCTGCACGGGAGGAGCGAGGGATGCAGCCTCTGGGGGCCGCAGCCCCTGTCCCACCTCAGTCCCCGCGCCCCGAGGCTGGTACAGACCTTCACCGTCTCCATCCACCGCTGGTGCCGCTGCTGGTAGTAGACCACAGAGCGGTACTCGCTGGCCGGCTTGTCCCCCGCGCCATGGTAGATCACGTTCTGCAGAGAGGGCAGCAGCAGCAGAAGAGATGCTTCGTGGCCAGAGTAAATAGACTCGAAGGACTGGAGAATTTTGCATCCCGTGCTAACCCAGGCCAGCCCCCGAGCCGTCCAGCCCCTGCCCAGCACGGTCACAGCTCGCTTCCATTGCCCCAGAAGAAGGGCATTGTCGGGGACAGAGAAGGAGGTGGGGGCTGCGCCCCTGGACCAACCCAGTGGGCAATTCACAGCCTGTTCCCCAGGGGCCAGGTAAGAATTGCGTTTGAAATGAAAGCAAACACCCCGGAGAGAGAAAGTCAGTCTCAGGGTGAGGGTGGGTCCCAGCCTCCGCCCGCCCTACTGGCAACCCCCCAGTGCCTTCCCCCTCCTGCCTCTCCCAGGGCTGGAGAGCTGGGACACCCCACCCAGGGACCTGCAGGGATGCCCAGGGGTTCTGGCCGTCCCAGGAGAGGACAATCTTCTCTCTATCCCATCTCACCATTTTCCCAGATCTTTATTCTAAAGGGCAGCTTTAGGGGCTCCAGTAGCCAAAGAGGCTATTCCAGCCAGTTTGTGCTGGGCACCAACATCGGCACCGGCATGCTACGGAAGGAGCTGCTGCCTCTGCCTGAGGTGGGGTGATGTGGGGCACAGTCCCTCGCCCCGGAGCCAATCCGGCACCTGCCATACCTGCACCACGCTGCCCGACTCGTCGCAGACGCACACCGTCACCTCCACGTTCTTCTGCGTCTTCTTGTTGCCCTTGTCAAACTCGCCCTGCACCAGCGTCAGGTAGATGTCGTTCCTGACGTCTCCTGGGGGGACACTCCAGTCAGCGAGGCCAGGTCCCCTCTGCAGCGGGGCACCCCGTAACCCCACGCTGGGACCCCCAGAGACCATCCAGGGGTGGTCCAACCCGCCACCCTGCTTGCCTGGCATGATGACCTCCGGATAGCCCAGCTTGCGTGCCACCACGGTGCTGCGGTCCACGAGGTGGGGATGGTCCTTCCGCACTTGGCTCAGGTCTCCCCAGAGCATCTTCAGGGACACCCAGAACCCTGCCGGGACAGGGCGCGGGACGTCGGCCCCACAGCCTGCACCAGCTCGGCCCAAGCTGTGCCACGTCGTGCTAAGGGTGCCGGCCACGCGCATCTCCCACGGACGCAGCTGCCCTGCCCTGGGCTCAGCCCCAGATGCATGCGGGTGGGTGGTCGCTCCCAGTGACCCCCGTAAGGCTCCGATCCCTCTTACTGGGAGAATTAACACACCGAGCCCCAGATGCACCCAGGGTCAAACTCACAGCCCCATGGCTGCTGCGGTTTTTCAATGGGTGACAACATGCAAGGGCCTGGGGGAGGCAGCAGGAGGGGGCCCAGGGCTGGCCAGGGACCAGAGCGAGCCCCCAGACCCTGTGAGGAGTGTAATGGGGGGGCTGAGTAGCAGCCCAGGACCCTGAGCACAAGCAGCAGCTGCAGGGGAACGGGATGGGCCGGGAAGGGATCTCACCTCGTCCTGCACCACGTACCATGGTGCAGAGCGGCACACAGGGCAGGGGGGACGCAGGGGCTCTACCTTGTCCCTTGTGGTTGATGTCCTTCCCCTCCACTGCTTTCCTGATCATGTTGTGAAGGAAATCGTTGTCAGCAGCCACCCTGCAAACACCAGAGTGGGGCGATTCGGAGGAGCTCCCCGCCGGGCACACACGGGGAACCCCGCACCGCCAGGCACCGAGCACCAGCAAACCAAATGGCAGCCTGGATCCCGCTGCGGCTCCCCAGCCCACTGGGAGGGAGGTGTGGGACGGCACCCACAGCAGAGCAGGGACCCTGAGCACACGCGTGCCCCGAGGGGCGGGGAGGCAGAGCTCTGGCACAGCTTCCCTATCTCTGAAAATACCCCTTTTACTTCACGAAGGTCCTGGAGACGTCGTGTCCCAAGGATCCACAGTCCCTTTGCAAAGCCACCTTCAACGGAAATTTTTTTCCTCTTTGATCCTGGCACCTCCTGACCCCTCGCAGCCGCTGTCCCTGTGCCAGCCAGGCCTGTGGAGCACTGGTCCCCTGCCCACTGCCCCCCCACCCGCTGCCCCCCTGCCCGGCCCCACGGGACTCACAGGTGCACAGGGATGAAGTGCTGCTTGTCCTCGTCGCTCTCGCACTTCCCCTTGGTGATGTCCGTGATGTCCATCACTGCAGCAGCGCAGAGGCGGCACCGTGGGGCGGCTGCCACGGGCGCCGGCAGCCCCAGCCCCCAGCACCAGAGCCCTCCCCGCCAAAACCCCGCGGGGCCAGCACCCAGGACTGGCCCTGCTGTGCCCCAGCACGTGCACGGGGAGGTCCTCACGCCCCACCGAGACCCCTCTGCCACCCCACACCGGACGGCACCGAGCTGCACGGGGCTCTCCACGGACGTGCTGCCAACACGGGCTGGGACCTGGCATCCCAGCACAGCTCACCCATGGGAAGCACGCCCAGGGGGTCTGCAGCAGCACCAGCATCAGCCCCCAGTGCAGGGAAGGGTCCCGTGGTGGGCACATCCCCAGGGCCACCCACCCCTAGGCTGGCTGGTCGGGGCTCGCACCTCTGGGGGAATGGCACACAGAGACAGTGCGGCCACACACAGGACAGTCACCACAAGTGACCTCAGAGCCCCAGGGCGGATTTTGGCCAGAATAAACCATATCCAGAACGTCTCCATCAGCCATGGACAAGGGCACCACAGAGTGGGCACCAGGATGATCCATCTGGCCCCCCCCCAGGAACACACTCAGCTCAGAGTGCAATTAGCCGCCAACATGCTCGTAATTCACCTGGTAATTTCTCTGTGGCTGAGGTCTAGCACATGCTAATTAGCCAAGTAAAATCAATAATTTCCTAGCAAGCCCGTCTGATGGGGATCAATACCCAGAACAGGATCATGGGTTGAGGCAAAGAGGGAGAGCTCCCTGCTCTGCTCTGGAGGGACCAGGGCTGCTCCTGGGGACCCCTCCGGCAGCACCAGGCTGGGGGTCCCTGCACCAGTCCCTCTCCTCTGATGGGGAGGGTGCGTTGCATCCCCATGGGCCCCAGCCACAGCCCCGGCAGGGCAGGGCCAGCCCGGGGGCACAACGCGAGGACGGCCGGGGGAAGCGCTTGGCTCCGGCTGTCGCGGGAGCAGGGAGCCAAGGCTTTCCCGGCTGCCGGAGCGGCCGTGCCAGATGCCTCCCCGCACCCCAGCACCAGGCACGGGCAGGAGAGGCCCTGCCGGGTCAGGCTGGGGAGGGGGAGACAGGACAGAGAGCTTGGGGGGACGAGGCGAGTGCGGCCGTGCAGAGGTAAGGGAGGGTCGGGGTCCATGTGTGGGGTTGGGGGCTGCCTGGCCGGAGGCAGGAGCAGCCCTGGGGCGTTGCTACCCCAAACCACTGCACCCCACAGCCAGCGAGCCCCGTGGAGCCCGGTGGCCAAGACGTGGGTGCTGGCATGGGCAGCACTGGAGGGGTCTCCTCCCGGCACCCACGGCAGACCCTGCTCTCACCTGAGATGCCAAAGGGCCGCCGGAGACCCGTGCTGAGCTTGCGGCTGTAGGTGTCCCGGAGGTCCATGCGTCCCACCCGGATGATCTGGCACACCAGGAAAAGCCTCTCCCGCTTCAGGTCTTTGCTGCCCAGGTCCTGGGGGGGGGGGGGGGTGGGGGGGATGGGGCCTGCATGAGCCCAGCACCGGCTGCACCACGTGCCTCTGTCAGTGACCAGGGGGTACCCGGGGCTGTGCGGGGGATGAACCCTCCTCCTGGCACCCCAACTCTGCCTTCAGGGGCCGAGGGGGACACCTGACTGAGGCCACTGTGCCCCGCAGAGGGGCTTGGCTGGAGGGCAGGCAGCCCTGCTGTCCCAGGGAGCCTGGGGTTCCTGTGCACCCCGGCAGCCCCAAGCTCAGGGGGCAGGGACGGCGCTGGACTGGTGGACACCGACGGCCCCACGGGCCAGGCAGCACAGCTGAGGCAAGCACGCTGCCCCAGGAGGGAGCAGGTCTGACATGGTGTAGGACTTGGTGGGGCAGCCCTGCGCCCCAGCTCTGGGCACCCTGGGGGGGTCAGGCCCCACGGTGCTGCCCTTGCCCTAGAACCTTCCCGCAGGGCTGCGGCACAGGGCAGGGTCACGCCGCAGCACACGGGGACACGCAGCCGACACCAGCAGCAGGCAGGGGTTGGAGGTGGGTGAGAGCCCAGGGGAGCTGGACTGCGGGGGCTGGAAGTGCTGATGCTGCTCATTAGCATTGATTTTCCCAGCTCATCTGCATATCGATGGCTCCGCTTGGGCCATCCTGAGGGTCAGCTCAGCTCTGCTGGTGCAGCGGGAAAAATGCTGGGTCAGCAGGAGCTGCCTGCGCCTCCTCCCACCCGCGGCCAGGGAGCGCCGAGCCCGGCTGCAGGCGAGGGATGGAGCGGAGATGGGGGCACAGGCACCCTGACAGCCCCAGAGACCCGTCTGCAGGGAGGGGAGGCCTCAAGGGGCAGCCCCACAGCGGGTGCCCATGGGAAGGAGCAGGGATTCGGCTGCTCACAGGGGCACACTAGCTGCAGCAGAGCCTCAGGGCCCCGCGCGTGGTGCTGGACGCATCCGAAGCGCTGCGGGGGGGGCGGGGGGGGGGGGGGGGTGGGGGGGAACCTCTGCAGGCAGCAGGGAGGGCGCAGGCAGCTCTGTAGGAAGGCAGAGGCAGGCAGCAGCAGCGCGGCTCCCGAGGGCTCCGCGCTCACCGTGAAGACGGCCTTGAGGTTGTTGAGCAGCTCGATGTCCTGGGGGACGCCCGTGCTGGCCCAGCGGATCACGTAGTTCTCGCTGCGAGGGGGAGGCGAGGGGTGAGGAGCCCATGGCGGGGGGCCAGGCACCAGCACAGCAGAGCTGGAGCTCAGCGTGTCCCTGCCGGGCAGAGCCTGCCGGCAAGCAGCCCACCAGCAAGCACCACGACGTGGGCTGGAGCGCTTTGGCCACGGGCAGGGCGCTGCCCCAACCCCGCCAGCGCCCACCGCGCAGACCCCTTGTCCGAGCAGTGGCCCCGGTCGTGGCACACGGACCGGCCCAGACTGGCCGTCGCCAGCAGCGGGAGGCTACCAGCCCAGCCTCTGGTCGGACACGCTCTGGGCACATCGGCACCGGGCTGCGCGGCTGCAGCGGTACCCAGGGTCTGGCATGGGCTGAGCCGGCACCTGCCCGCCGTGGACAGATCAGTGCAGGGCACCCGTGACGGGCCACAGCACGCCGGGCACGCACCACCCCAGGCAGGAAGAGCCACGGGATGTGACTGCACACCTTGCACACTTGCCAGCGAACCCTCCCGCTCTGGAGGACACAACCCTGCGGGAAGGGACGAGCCTCTTATCCCCCAGTGAGATGCACCAGCTCGTGCGCCAAGCTGGGCAAACGAGCGGGCTGGACAGGACCCCGGGGCTGGGCAGTGGGGTGCGAAGGGGAGGGGGCTGCCCTGCAACTGGGGGACAGGACGGGAGATGTGCAGGGAGCGTTGGGCCGGGCACCCACCTGATCATGCGCTGCTCGCCGGGGTCGTACAGCGCCATGAAGAGCTGCGCCTCCTCGCCGATGTGGCAGACAAAGTTGCGCACGCAGAGGTAGAGGCTGTGGGAGGGCGAAGCTGCCAGGCGGGCGCTGCAGCCCAGCGCGCTCTGCTGTGGGCTCTGCGGGGCACGAGGGCCGCTCAGCCCCACGGCTCGGCCCCACGGCACGGCCCCTGGCACGGCGTGGGGCGGCAGGCTGTCGGCACGGCGGGGTCAGTGTGCCGGGCTGGCGCTGGCTCTCACCGTCTCCTCCTGGATGCGCTGCATGACGGTCTGCGCAGCTTTCCGGTGCGCCTGGAAGAGGCTGATGATGCTGGTCCTGTCGGGGTCCAGGATGTTTTCGTCCTCGTCCCGCACCACCAGGTCCAGTGCGAGGATCCTGCGGAGGCCAGGATGGGGTGAGGCAGGACCCGGTGCTCGGCTGGGCCAGGGGACACAGCTCTGTGCACCCCACCAGGACCCGCCTGCCCTTGCACGGGCATGGGCCGGCACGGGCTCTGGGGGTGCAGGCACGGGAGGGCACAGGACAGATCCTGGCGGGTCCTGGCCAGCACCAGAGCCCTGGCAAGGGGACAAGAGCTGGGCAGCAGCAGAGCTGCTCTCCTGCCCCAGCCAGGGCTTGGTGGCCATAGCCCTTGGCTAGGTGGCTTGCACACCCAGCAGCGCACTCACTGTCCCCGGCCGCCTCAGGACAGCCAACCAGGCCGGCGGGGACACAGGGTGCCCCAGAGACACCCAGCCAGGACGATGGGGACAGAGGGGCAGCCAGCCAGGCCGGTGGGGACACTGCAGCAGAGGGGCTGAGCGTCCCTTGGCACGGCACAGCCCGTGCCTGGGGCGGGGGCAGATGCCCGGGGGCCCCCCCCACACTCCATCCCCGCTCTCACTTGTTGCCATAGTCGATCTTGCCGGTCACCTCCTTCTTGAGCTGCAGCAGCTCGTCCTTGGGCAGCGTCCCCGACAGCAGCTGCGAGCGCCGCTCCATCAGCTCGTACATCATCCGCTTCACCCGCCGGTACTGCTCCGTCTGCCCGGCCTGCGGGCAGCAGCGGCGGCGTCACCACATGGCCCCGGCCCCCTCGGACCCCCCCAGACCCCCCTGGTCCTCACCACGTAGAGCTGCTTCCAGATGGTGGCCCACTCCCGCAGCGTGGTGGTGATCTCCTGCACCATGGGCATCTCGGCGGGCACCACGCTCTCCTCCGCCCTGGGGAGAGGCGCAGGGAGTCCTGGAGCCCCCCGGCACCGCCCAGGCCCCCCGAGCCAGGCAGGACAATGGGGACCACCCCCCCGTGTGCCCACGGCCGGTACCTACCCTCTGCGCTCCACCACAGCACCCTTCAGGTGGATGAGCGAGGCCGGGAAGATGCCCTGGGGGAGCCGTAGCCGTCAGCACCCGCGGGACAGGCCTGGCAGGGTGCAGCCCACCCCGGGGGGGCACGGGTTGGGCCCCCCCACCAAGGGTCCCGCAGAGGGTCCCAGCCTGGCCATGCCACAGGGTGCCCGGTGTCCTCCCCCCCCGCAGGGACAGGGTGAGCCACCGGCCATGTCTGCAGCCCCCCACGCGCCTCGGCCCCCCAGCAGCCCCTCACCTACCCGGGCAGCTCTGTTCCTGAGCGAGTACCCGTGGTACCAGCCTGCAAGGGGGGGATGCCATCAGCCGGGTGCGGGGGGGACCTGGCAGCCCGCGGCAGCGCAGCCAAGAGAGGGTACCCAGCCCCGGTTCCCCCCGGGGCTGCCGGACCCCCTTACCCTCGGAGGCCTGCAGGATATGCACCGTCTCCCCTCTGCAGCGGGAGGTGATGCTCGCTGGTGCGCGGGAAGTTCCAGACGGCTGCGGGGAGAGGGGCCGGGAGCTGTGAGTGGGGGCCCCTCACCCCGAGCAGTGCCATTCGGCGCAGCGCGCCCCACGGCCGGCAGCCCCATGGGAAGCAGAGCCACTTCAACCGGCACTGCTCAGCCCCAAGAGACAGTGCAGGGTCCCAGCCCCACACAGACGGCGTGAGACCCCCCAGCAGGCACGGTGCGAGGCAGAGGCAGAGGCAGAGCAGCGCTGGCCGCAGCGGGGCTGGGATGGGGAAGGGACCCCAGATCCCAGGAGAACCACAGCACAGCCCGCACGGTGCTGGGCACAGCAGGAGCCGTCAGCTCCCCCTCCTCCAGCACACAGGGGTCCCCTGCCCGGGGTCCTCCCCGTCACGCTGTGCCCGGGTGCCCAGGCACGCAGACTGGTCCCTGGGGCCACTGGGAGCCGGTGGCGGGGGCAGCGGGGCGGCAGGAGCTCGCTGGTGGCCACACGCTTCCTGCTGCGGCACCAGCTGCACCGGCCCGGCTGCGGTTAGTCCTGCCGCTATTTCTGGTCCTGGGGACAGTGACAGCTCTGTCTGGAGGAGGCAGCCCCGGCTTGGCCCCAGGGCCGGCTGCACCCTGCGCCGGGGGACAGTCCCCTCCAGACATGCCTGCACCCGGGGGGGTCCCTGCTAGGACGCTGCCTGTACCCACCACCAGCCCGGCCAGGGCCAGCTCATGCTGCAACACCCCCAGACCCACGCAGCTCCTTGGGACCCCTCGTGCTGGCCCCCACACACCTTGCAGCACTGAGAGCCCTGAGGTCCCGCGGGACCCCTCCTGCCACACCACACAAGGACCCTGAGCCAGCCCAGACCAGCACCTGGCCCCAGTGCAGGCTTGCTCCCCTCCGGCCCCTTCCCACCCCCCAGGCCCCCCCCTTGCAGGACGGATAGTGCCCGTCAGGCACAAGCAGGAGCCAAGACGAGCCCCTGCTCCCCACGCTGCCCAGGACCCCGCTGGGGCTCAGCCGGTGCTGCGGGTGCTGCCAGTGGTGCAAGGGGAGGGCGTGGGAAACGGTCCCCGTCCAGAAAGGGGAAGAGGCGCAGGGCCGCATCCTGTGCCAAGCCCGCCGCCCCAGCGCTCTGCCCCAGCCCCGCTCAGCCCCACAGCTCCCCATCCCCACCCAGCACCAGCCACGAGCAGCCTCTGGGCGTGTGGGTCCCGCGGACCCCTGCCCCGTTCAGCCCCTCGTCCCTTGGGCCACCACCCCCCTGTTCATTCTTGCACCCACCGGCCCACCCAGCCCCAGCACCGTGGGGACCCGGCCCCCGCCTCGCACCACTACCAGCCCCACCCAACCCAGCACCGGTGGCACAGTTCACCCTGCAAGCCCCACGCCATTGCCCAGCCAGCATCGCCTGCCCCTCTCCACCCCACTGCCACAGGGCCACCGTCAGCGTCACCCCAGCCATCAGCACCCCATCCCACCGGCCCCGCACCCCTCCGGCGAGCCCCGAAGCCTGCACTCACCCACGCCATACTTCTCCTCCTTGGTGGGCAGCCACGGTGCCATGGCCAGCTGCGCGGAGGGGACCGGGGCCCTGCGTGGGGCGGCTGCTGGTTCCTCCTGCCGCGCTCCCCAAGTCACGTGTATCTCACCGGCTTGTGCAAACCTCCGCTTCCTCAACGCGCAGCCGGGCGCCGCGGGGACCCACCCGACCGCCCCGTGCCCCCCGACGTGCCGGGGCAGGGGTGGCGGGGACAGAGCCCCCGGGACCCCGCCACGCCGCCCACCCAGCGTCCCAGGCTCGGGTGGGTCGCTGGGTGGGATGGGGCTGCTGGTCACCAGAGATGCTGCGGCACGGCGAGCCCCTCTGGCTGGGCACCGGTGCCCAGCAGCCCACGGGGCTGGAGCCCGGGGCACGGAGCAAGAGCAGCTCCCACCGCCCCACAGCACGGGAGCCGTGCGCTCGGGCCAGCTGCACCGCTCCAGACCAGCACCGCTGGGACGAGGCCTCTGCCGCCATGGCCAGGGCTGGCCCGTCCCCGTCCCTCGGGGCACGAGGCTCGGCGGTGCCAACGCCGGCACGGTGCACGGCCGCAGCCAGGCTCCGCGGGTCCGTCCCCAGCCCGCCGCTGCCTGCAGCACCCGGGCGCGGAGCGGAGCAACAGTTCAGCATCGACCACTTCCTTCCTCCCGCCGGCTGCACACCCCGGCCAGCCTGCACCAGTGGGGACTGGACGCTGGTCCCCCATCCCCGCGCTGCCCCGGGACCCCCGTCCCCCCCAGACCTGCTCCCGGCCTGCCGCAGCCAGGCTGCAGCTCTCGCAGTCTGTAACCGCTTCACCAACGGCCCCGTTGAGGCAGCGTCAGGCTCCTTCCCCACACTGCCCACACCCCCACCTCGCACCCACCCTGCTCCAGGGTCACCCCTGGGTGCAGCTCCCCCATCCCATGGGTCACCCCTGGCCCCACCACAGACATCCCCGGCCCAAAGGCAGCTCCAGGCAGCCCTCCCAGACCCGTCAGCCTGAGGAAGAGGGGACGGAGGGGACGGGGAGCCCCCCAGAAAGGGAGCACGAGTGGTTTGGGGTGAGCCACCGGAGCTGGGTGTACAGCGGAACCCAGGGGCAGGGAGGGGGCTGGGAGGGTTTAAGGGCCCCCCAGCACAGAGAGCGGGAGGGGATAACCGGGGATAATCACTGCTCTGCCCGGGGGTCTGCTCCCGGGAGGCGGCACCACCGGCAGAACACGCCGGGGCAGCACCGTGGGGCCGCAGTGGGGACCCTCGATGGGGGAGAGCTGCCACCACCCCTCCGCGGCAAAGGCCAGGGCGTGCAGCATCGCCGCGCCATCGCCGGCCGGCCTGCACCGGGGCTCACGGCACCAGGCTGGCTGAGGCCAGGTCAGGCGGCCGCCGCCACGGCACGGCGTGACAGAGCACGGCATGGCGTGGCACAGCACGGCACGCTGTGGCACACGGATGGCGTGGCGTGGCACAGCACGGCACGCTGTGGCACACGGACGGCGTGGCACAGCACGGCACACCGTGGCACACGGGCGGCGTGGCACAGCACGGCACACCGTGGCACACGGGCGGCGTGGCACAGCACGGCACGCTGTGGCACACGGACGGCGTGACACAGCACGGCACGCCGTGGCACACGGACGGCGTGACACAGCACGGCACGCCGTGGCACACGGACGGCGTGGCATGGCACAGCACGGCATGCCGTGGCACATGGGCGGTGTGGCACAGCACGGCACACCGTGGCACACGGATGGCGTGGCACAGCACAGCACGCCGTGGCACATTGACGGCGTGGCACAGCACGGCACGCCGTGGCACACGGGCAGCGTGGCACAGCACGGCACACCGTGGCACACGGGCGGTGTGGCACAGCACGGCACACCGTGGCACACGGGCGGTGTGGCGTGGCACAGCACGGCACACCGTGGCACACGGGCGGTGTGGCACAGCACGGCACGCCGTGGCACACGGGCGGTGTGGCACAGCACGGCACGCCGTGGCACACGGATGGCGTGGCACAGCACGGCACGCCGTGGCACATTGACAGCGTGGCGTGGCACAGCATGGCACACTGTGGCACACGGGCGGCGTGGCACAGCACGGCACGCCGTGGCACACGGATGGCGTGGCACAGCACGCCGTGGCACACGGGCGGCGTGGCACAGCACGGCACACCGTGGCACACGGATGGCGTGGCACAGCACGGCACGCCGTGGCACACGGGCGGCGTGGCGTGGCACAGCACGCCGTGGCACATTGACGGTGTGGCGTGGCACAGCACGCCGTGGCACACGGGCGGCGTGGCTCACCCGTGGCTGCGAGGGCAGAGCCGTAACTGCGGGCGCATTCAGAGCTCGGCTTTCCGCCGCGGCCGGTGCTCCCGGTCCCCGAGTCCCGGGGGCAGCCGGTGCCCGGCGCGGCGGCAGCTCCGTGCCAGGGGGCGCGTGCCGTCCGCCGGTCCGGCAGCTCCACGTGCCGCCCCCCGGCCCCCGCCGGTGCAGCGCGCCGCGGGATGCCCAGCGCCGGTGCGGGATGCCTGGGGACTCGCACCGCGCCTCCGAGCGGGGGGGGGGGCGAGGCGCGGCACCCGAGCGGCTGCTCCGTACAAAGGCGGCGGCGCGGAGCCGTGCGGGGAGCGGGGCGGCCGGGGCCGGGCCGGGCACCGGGGGGCTGGGGCCCCGTTCCCCCGGTGTCGGCGCGGGGAGGGGGGGGGCAGCAGGACCCAGCGGAGCCCGGCCCGTCGCCACGCAGGCAGGGCGGTGCCTAGCAACGGGCCGCGCGCTGATTGGCGGCCGCCGGCGGGGCCACGTGACGGCGCCGCGGTCACCTGACGGAGGCCCGGGGCCCGGCCCGCGGCGGCGGCGCGCGCAGGTGAGCGGCGTCCGGGCCGGAACCGGAACCGGAACCGGAACCGGAACCGGAGCCGGGGCCGGGGCCGAAGCCGAAGCCGAGGCCGCGGCTCGAGGGCCGCGCTGGGCACTCGCCTTCGTCCTGGGAGGTCCGGTCCGGTCCGGTCCGGTCCCGTCCCGGTGCTCAGGAGCCCCGTCCGGTCCCGCCCGTCCCAGCCTCCCCCCGGCCCGTGCCATTCGTGTCCACCTGCCCCCGCGCCCCGGCCCGGTCCCCGCTCCGCGCCCGGTCCTGCCGCGCTCTCCCCGGTGGCTCGGCCCGCGCTCAGCCCGCCGCCCGTGCGTGTCCCCCCGCGGTGCCCCCCGACGGTCCCCCCCCCTCCCCGCCCCGGTGGAACGGCACACGGTAGGCTGCCGCCCGGGGGTAGCTCAGCGCCGGGCTCCCGCCCCAGCTCCTGCCTGCCCTCGCAGCACCGGTGCCGGCATTCCCGCCATGGCCGGCTGCGGGGCCCCCGGCTCCCCGCCACGGCAGAGCCGCCCTGGCTCCGTGCTGGAGGAGGAGGAGGAGGAGGAGGAGGAGGATGAAGAGGACCCAGCCCTGGGCTGCGACGGCGACCTGGAGGTGAACCCCTACGACGGGCTGCCCTTCTCCTCCCGCTACTACGAGCTCCTGCGGCAGCGCCGGGAGCTGCCGGTCTGGACCACCAAGTACAGCTTCATGGAGCACCTGGAGGGCAACAGCGGCATCGTCCTGGTGTCCGGGCCCCCCGGCACGGGCAAGAGCACCCAGGTGAGGCGGGGGGGCCGTGGTGGGGGGCCCGGCACAGGGCTGCGGCACCGTTGGTCTCTCCACAAGACCGCTGCCTCCCCCGCCGGGGCTGCGTGTGGATCCCACGCCCGTGGGAGCGAGCCACAGCCCCTGTGGCACGGGAGCCACCAGACCCTCTCCCCTGCCCGGACAGCGCGGGCTGGCCCTGCGCGGCGTTACCGGGGGCTGGCAGGCACTGGGCCGTGGGGGAGCGGGGAGGTGGGCGCCTGTGGGGCTGCGGGCAGGAGGCACGGGGACGGGGCTGTGACCCAGCAGCGGCTTCCTGGCCCCGCAGCAGCGTCTGAGCTTGTGGGGGGACGTGGAGGGGGGTGGCAGGCCCCGCAGGGCTTCAGCTGCACCGCGGCGCCTTTGCCACTGCGGTGAGCCCGGCGTGGGGCCAGGCAGCCGCACGCCGGGATGTGCCAGGGCAGGAGCTGGGGCCCCGGGCAAAATCTCGGCACGAGCCGGGAAGTGCGGCCGCGGCGGCGCAGGGAGCGGGAAATGGGAAACAGCCGCTCCCTGGAGCTGGGCCCGGCGGCGGTGGCAGGTCCCGGGGGTGCCCCAGGGGAGCTGGGCCCGCCTGACAGCCCCGGTGCAGCCCCTGGAGACGGCATCACGCAGACTTTGGCCGGGGGAGGGATCACCTGGAGGCCGCGGGTGCGGCTGGGTCACTGCGTGGCAGCTGCCGGCCCCGGGGGCTCTCAGGGTGCTGGCACTGGGCTCGGGGCCGCTTGCCCAAACCACCTCCCTTGGGCGTCACCCCGCTGCAGCGCAGGGCTGGGTTCAGCCTATGGCCCACAGGGTGCCGGGTTTGGGGAATAAAGCCCTTGTGTGGGCCCTGGCCCGGCCCCAGGGCCGGGCTGGTGCTGGGTGCAGGCACCCTGCCTACAATCCCTGCGGGGCGCCGGGACCGCCGTGCCCCGAGCAGGCCAGGGGACGTGACTCGATCCACGTGGAACATCTGCTCCTGCCCTTTGGTGCGCCAGCACCCCGCAGACGCGGTGTTTCCACCCAAAGTGGGAAGAGCCGACGCAAAGCCGGGTCCCTTCACCGTTGTCGTGGCCGAGGGCTGTCCGCACCCCGTGCCGCCGCCCTCGCCGGTTTTTGCAGGGAGGGAGGGTGCAGAGCTGTGCACGGAGCCGCGGCCGAGCGCACGCAATCCACGGGGCAGCTGTGGGGCCGGGCGGAGGAGCAGAGCAGGCTGCACGCGTGTGTGACCGTGAGCTGGGCTCTGGCGGCAGCCCCTGGGCAGGAATCCCGTCATCCTTCTGGCCCCGCGCGAGGACGCTCGAGCCCCTGCCCCGGACCTGCGGCTGCTCTGAGGTCTGGGCGTTGTTGGCCATCGCCTAGTCCAGCTGCCTCCCCGCTCCAGGGCTGACCAGAAGTTAAAGCTCATTAATGACATTGTCCAAATTCCTCTTAAGCCCTGGCAGGCGTGACCTGGGGGCCCGGCTCACCCTGAGCTGGCAGCTCCAGCGAAGGCAGCGCAGCACGTACCCCCCCCCCAGCCCCATCTTTCCTGGGGAGTCAGAGAGGATTGTTGTCCTGTGTCCTTAATGCAAGAGCTGGGGCCGTGGTGTCCCGTAGCAAGGCAGGAAGCTGCTGGGGGGCTGGTGACACAGGTTACTGGGACTCAGGAGTGATGGTACGGGGGAGGGAAGGTCCCGCCTGGCTGTCGGGTGCTTCTGTACGGCCTCTGGTGCGGGAGATCCCACGGCTGGATCTCAGGGGGCTGCTGTGGGGAGGGTCCCCCTGCCCTTCTCGGGGCGGGCAGAGCGGGCGCTGCTCCACGATGGGGAGGGGAATGTCCCGGCACTTCTGCCCGGGGCCGCGCTGTCCCCGGGCCCTGACCGGCGTTCTGTCCCCGCAGATCCCGCAGTGGTGCGCGGAGTACGCCCTGTCCCTGCAGTTCGCCCACGGCCTGGTGGCCTGCACCCAGCCCCACAGCCTGGCCGCCCTCAGCCTCTCCCTGCGCGTGGCGGACGAGATGGACCTGAACCTGGGCCACGAGGTCGGCTATTGCGTCCCCCACGAGGACTGCTGCACCACCGAGACCATCCTCAGGTACCGGGGGGGCCCCCGCGGGCTGCCTGTGATGGGAGAGCTGCTCGTGCCACGCTCTAATCCCGCTGAGCTCCCCGGCCGCAGAGTAATCTCTTAATCCAGCCTGGCCTCGTCGGGGGAGCGATGAAGTGGGGCTGGGGTGGGGAGGGGGCGAGGCGTGCTCCCACTGCGGGGGTGCAGCCCGCAGCGCCAGGGGTCCCCACGCTGAAGGGGCCGGCCCGCGGCAGGTACTGCTCGGACGAGATGCTGCTGCGGGAGATGACGTCGGACCCGCTGCTGCGGCAGTACGGGGTGGTGGTGCTGGACGAGGCGCAGGAGCGGACGGTGCCCACCGACGTGCTGCTGGGGCTGCTGAAGGACGTGCTGCGCCAGCGCCCCGCGCTGAAGGTGGTGGTGGTCACCTCGCCGGCCATGGAGGAGCGGCTCCGCGCCTTCTGCAGGGACCCCCCCGTGGTGCGGGTGCCGGGGCCAGGGACCCCTCCCCAGCTGCTCTACAGGGACCCACCGGCCCGTGGGCGCGTCGCGGCTGCCTGCCAGGCTGTGCTGGACATCCACCGGCGGCAGGAGCCCGGCCACGTCCTGCTCTTCCTGGCCAGTGAGCAGGTGGGCTGCGGGCGCCCCGCGGCTGGGCTCCCGAGTGGGATGGGAGGTTTGGGAGATCCCTCTCAGCCGTGTGCGGGGAGTCCTGAGGGCTGCGGGGGATTCAACTGCAGGAGCTGGGGCTCCTCTGCCGAGGGGCCGGGGGTCTTTCCCCGCAGGGCACAGCGGAGCGGCCTGTCCTGGGGATGGGGCCGCTCCGGGTGTCCGTGGGCATCACTCGTGTGTCCTCCCCCACAGGAGATCACCGAGTGCTGTGGGGCCATCCAGACCGAGGCCGTGGCGCTGAACCCGGGGCTGGGCCCGCTGCTGGTCCTGCCCCTGCACCCTGGCGTGGGCCGCGCGGCGCAGAAGGTGTACGAGGCGCTGGAGGAGGGCGGCCGAGAAAGGCGAGTGGTGGTCACCCACTGGCTCGCGGACTCGTCCTTCTCTCTCGGGACCGTGCGCTTCGTCATCGACTCGGGGCTGGAGCTGCGCAGCGTGAGTGTGCGCCGAGCGGGGGGCCTCGCTCTGCTCTGGGGCGCAGCCCGGCAGCGTTGTCCGCCCGTCCCGGGCCCTGGGGGACGCTGCCCCGGGGACGCGGCTGGGAGAAGGCGGGGGCTCATTTGCGGGTGTCCCCTCTCATGGCCTCACCTGCAGGTCTACAACCCCCGCATCCGGGCAGAGTCCCAGGTGCTGCGGCCCATCAGCAAGAGCCAGGCAGAGTCACGCATGCAGCGAGCCTCAGGCAGCCCCCCAGGTGAGACCCCCTGCCTGGGCATCCCCCAAATACGCCTCCAGCTCCCCTGCCTGCGCTTGCCGCCCTGTCCCCGGGCCCCGTCCCTCTCACAGCCCCTCTCCCGCAGGCACCTGCCTGCGCCTCTACTCAGAGGCCTTCTATGAGCAGCGCCTGCCCCCCAGCCCCGCGCCCCACGTCAGCGAGACCAGCCTCAGCCGCCTCGTGCTGCTGCTGAAGCGCCTGGACATCGCCGACATGGGCCAGTGCGACTTCCTCGACCGGCCAGGTAGTGCCCGCGGGGTGCAGAGGGGCTGGGCACGGCACCGGGGGGGCCGGAGCGGAGGGCTGCGACCGGGGGGGTGCTGGAGGCCGGCCGTGGCCGTCGTGGCAGCCTGGGCTGTCTCTGGAGAGGGGCTGGAGGGTCCCTGTGGGTGCAGGAGGAGGGTGGGCAGGGCTGCCTGCTGACGTCCTGCCCCAGCCCCCGAGTCGCTGATGCAAGCGCTGGAGGACCTGGACTACCTGGCTGCCCTGGACGATGACGGGAACCTGTCGGAGGTGGGGATCATCATGTCGGAGTTCCCCCTGGACCCCCAGCTGGCCAAGGCGCTCATCGCCTCCTGCGAGTTCGACTGCGTGGAGGAGATGGTCAGCCTGGCCGCCATGCTCACGGGTACGTGCCGAGGGGCTCGGAGCCCGCGCTGCTGCTGGCCCCCGGGGAGCCAGCACCGGCAAGGGCAGTGCTGGGGGGCACGTGGTGACCTGCCCTCTGCGCCGTCCCCAGCTTCCCCCTGCTTTGTGCCCCCTTCCACGCACGTGGAGGAGGCCGTGACCGTGCGCCGGCGGGCCCTGCTCCACCCGGACGGAGACCACTTCACCCTCATCAACATCTTCAACGCCTTCCAGCAGCGTGAGTGCCGGGCAGGGGCTCGACTGCCGGTGGGCTGCATACCCCCGCGGGGTCCCACAGCTCCCTCGCGTGTCCCCTGCTCCTTTGGGGAGCACGCACTGCAGCCACGCTCGTGACCCCAACCTGGCCGCGAGGGAGGTTCCCGTCCCCACTGCGTCGAGGGGGTGCAGTCTGTGGGGCGGGCAGCGCCTGGTTTCGTGGCCCGCGAGCCCCCAGCCCAGCCAGGCCCCGGTTCCGCGCGGGGTCTCTGCTCGCCCAGGCCTGTCCCCGCGGTGCTGACCCCCCTCTCCCCCAGACAACGCGGACGAGAGCTGGTGCCGCAAGCTCGCGGTGAGCGGGGAAGCACTGCGGCTGGCCGGCGTCGTGCGGGCAGAGCTGCTGGACGTGATGCGGCGCATCGAGCTGCCCGTCTCGCCCCCCGCCTTCGGCACCGACGCCAACGTGCTCAACATCCAGCGAGCGCTCATCTCCGGCTACTTCCTCAAGGTGGGCCCGGGGGCTGCGAGGGGCCTGGCCGCGGGGCGGGGGTCATGCCAGCCAGCCCCGCTCCCCTCCCGCTCCGCTCCCCAGGTGGCCCGGGACATTGATGGCTCCGGCAACTACGTGATGCTGACGCACAAGCACGTGGCCCACCTGCCCCCCGCCTGCTGCTACCTACTGCGGCAGCCCCCCCAGCGCCTGCCCCCCTGGGTCCTCTACCACGAGTTCACCATCTCGCAGGACAACTGCCTCCGCGTGGTCTCGGAGATACAGCCCCAAATGTGAGGACCTCGGATGGGTCGTGCCCGGGCTGCATCCCTGCGTGGCTCCGGAGCTGGCGCTGGCCTGGGAGCACAATGCCTGACCCTGGGGGGCAGTGGGAGACTGTCCCCGGGCAGGGGGGCTGCTCCAGGGTGGCCCCCGGGGCTGGCTACCCCTCCCTGACCCCCCCCATCCCCACAGGCTGGTAGAGCTGGCACCCCAGTACTACCTGAGCAACCTGCCGCCCAGCGAGAGCCGCGACCTGCTGATGGAGCTGCGGGAGAAGGTGGTGGCCGTGGAGGAGGTGCCGGCAGTGCCGGAGCCGCGGGGAGAGGCGGCGGGCGGGGAGGAGGATGAGGAGCGGGAAGCCTGTGTGCTGCAGTGAGCTGGAGCCACCGCAGTCCCCGCGTCGGGGCCACCTGGGCTTGGCTGTGACCACCGGGCACGGGAGAGCCCTGGGGAGGCAGCGCTGCTGGGGGGCCGACCCCATCCCCAGGGACGCGCAGGCACAGCCTGGCACTGCCACGGTCACGGTGCCAGCGGCCACGGGACCGGCTCCCGCCATCTCCCCTGGGCACAGAGCCCGTTTCGGGGGAGCGCCGGCCCCGGGGAGTCGTGCAGGCCCTCCCCGCCCGGGCTCCTTCACCCCGGGGGCTGCCGTGGGGCTGGGGCCACTGGCCCTGCCTGTCCCGCTCCCCCCACGCCACGGGGAGCAGGGGCCGAGGGGCCACGTGTGGGTCTCTCCTGTATAAAGTTTTGTGACCTTTACTCCTGGCCTTGCGTCTGTGCTTGCAGCTGAGGGGGGCTCGCGCTGTAGAGGGGTCCGGTGAGGGTGGGCTCCATCCCACCCCGGGGTCCTGCCTGCACCCCTGTGGGACAGCTCTGCCCCCCGGCCTCCCCTCTCCCGGGGGGTTTCTGAGCATGAAGCGTCTCTGGGCTTGCTCACCTCCCTCCTCTGGTTGTGGGTAGCGTGCCGCTGCCCCAGGACAGGCCGAGGGGCAGCCCTGGCCTTTGCGCCAGGTCTTCCCCGCTGCGGTCAGGAGCTTTTCTGCAGAAGTGGAGGGGAAGCTGCGGTGGGGTGGGCGGTAGCTTGGATGTGCAGCCAGCTCCTCCTTCCCCCCGGGACAGGACAGGGCACGGGTGCTCCCCCCAGGGAGCGGTGTCCCCCCTCCTCAGGGCCCCCTTCCTCCCTTGGGGTCCCCTCCAGCTTTCCAGCAAGTCCCGCTCCTCTCAGCCCTCCCTGACACCGCAGCCAAGGGCTGAGCTGCTTCCTGGTGGGGCCGGGGGTCCCAGCGTGGGTGCTGTGCTCCAGAATGGATCCCTCAGCGCAGGGCTGGTCCACCCTGGCTGCTGACCCCTCCCCTGCCTCCCACCTTCCCCGCCCCTTTCCTGCCCGCAGCCCACGCGTGGGGGGCTCCGCTGTTCCCGGGAAGGGGCCCGGAGGCTCCGCTGCCACATCCCTGCCGCAGCACCTCGAAGGTCGGGTGGAAAGTGAGGGCCGGGCGTCCCCACAGCCTCCTCGGAGCCCGAACTTCCCCTTCGCTTTCTAGGAACCCCAGAAAGTACGTGAGTGAGAGCAGCGGGGCACAGGTCGTGCCTCCCCACCCTCCCCAGAGTGGGGCTGCCTGCCCCCCCTTCCCTGGGCCGGGGCCCGGTGTGGGTTCAGGGGCTGTGCCCGGCCAGGCTGAGTGGGGCTGAGGATGGCGAAGGGGGGGTTGGTGGCTGTGGCTGCCTCTGTCCCTGTCTCCCTGTCCCCCCCCACAGCAACCCACGGGACGAGCAGCTGGGGCAGATGCGTGGCCCTGGGAAGGGGCAAGACAGCTCGTGCCTGGGTGGGTGCTGCACCCCGAGCCCCTGCAGGGACCCGCTCCTCTCCTGGGGGACCCACCGCAGCCCAGTGGGCCCGGCACTGCTCCTGCCCCTCCCCGGACCCCTGGGACAGGCGCTGCTGGACCTCGGTGGTCCCATCCCCGCTCCCCCCCACCGCGGGGGGCTGCGGGGGTCCGTGTGGCGCACAGTGATGTGCAAACCCTACGGCCAGTCCTGCAGCTCAGGACCACTCTGCAGGAGCTGGGACCACCCTGGGCTCCGGCACTGTCCTGCTGCCCAGCGCTGCCCCTGCGCCCAGCGGTCCCTGGGAGCAGACCCCTCCTCACCGCCCCGGCGATGCCCTCGGCCGGGCAGGGCAGTGGGTCCCCAGCGCCCCCCAGCCTGGGAAGTACCCGTGGTGAGTCCCAGCAGGGCTGGGGTCAAGGGCTGAGCATGGGGCCTGGCTCGCAGCTCCACCCAGAGCAGCTTTCTCCTCTTCTCAGAACTGTGATGCTTCTGTGGTTTGGCTTCACCTTGGGGCAGCCCCACAGGGTCCCGTCTCAGTATAAATCCAACCTCCTGCCGGCCCCCAGCCCACATTGATCCCACCGGAGCAGCGCACGCCACGCACGGAGGTAAGCACGGCATCGGGGCTGCTGGGGGGGCACTTGCACTGCAGGTGTTTAGGCACCAGGGAGCCCTAGGACGGTGCTGGCACCGCAGACCCCTGCTCGGGGGGCACCCAGTGGGGCCATGGTGGGAAGGGTCGGGGTGTCGCATCGGCTGCTGGCCCTGTGCAGGGCTCCCCCCGCACTGCATCGCTCCCCCTCCTGCCTGACCCAGCTGTCGTCCCAGAGCTGAGGGCTCTGCCCTTGCTGGTGCTGCTGGCTGCATCCCAGCTCGGCCGGCTCCCCTTCTCCTGGGGTAGGGCTGGGCCCCCTCCCCGGCACAGGGCTCCCCTTCCCCTTCCCCTACTGCTGCCCTTCCCCTCCCAGATGCTGGTGCTGGTGGGACTAGTGCTGTGCCTCACTCCTGCGGACGCCCTGACTGCCTTCCCCCCAAAGTGTGAGTCCTGCCCCATGGGGGAGACACCCCTGGGGAGAGGGGGGAGACTGCAGGACCCACACAGCAGCTGGAGGGAGGAGGGAGCACCCACATCCCTCTGATACGGGGTGATGTGAGCCTGGGCCGGAGCAGCTCTTCTGGTGGGGTGGGGGGTTAGAGGATGAGCATGAGAGCGATGGCGTGGGGTGGGGGGGGGATGTGGGGTGAGCAGGGGGATGGATGTGGGGTAATGGGGCAGGGTGGGATGGATGAGGGGTGTGGAGGCAGGGCGGGGACCACGGGGAAGGCGGGTATGGTGCGTCAGGACAAGGGGGCACCCAGCCCCGTCGTGGCGTGGGGAACGGGCTGCCCGCACCACAGCCCATCTCTGACCCCGGTCTCTGCCTCTCATCTCCAGTTCAGGTGGGGAAAGTGAACGGGAACGTGGTGATAAAATGCAACACCTCGGAGCAGCGAGTGACCTGGACGCAGAACGGGGAGCCAGAGCCCATGGCCGAGCTCGTGGCCGAGGGACAGACTCTCACCATCCTGGGCTTGGACCTGCCGGCTGCGGGCAATTACAGCTGCTGGGCCGGCACCGTCCTGCTGGACACCACCTACGTGGTGGTCAGCGGCACCCGTACGGGGGGGCTGGCACGGGGGGGGCTGGCACGGCTGGGCGGGGGACCCGGGGCTGAGGGAGCAGGGGGCGGGTGGGGGCTGATGGGGCGAATGCAGGGAGTTGGGAGGATGAAGGCAGGCTGATGCTCGTGCGTCTGCAGATGTTCACGCTGTGGGGTGACCCGGGCAGGGCTGTGTGGGTCTGGGGGGAGCCCAGCTGCAGGGGCAGCCTCACCTGTGCCGTTTGGGGAAGGGGCACCGCTCCCAGCCCCGTGCACCCCCCCGAGCCATTGCCCCTCGGCCCCGCCAGGCGAGGAGGGGATGAACGTCTCCTGCCAGGCTGAGTCCTACCGCGGCTCCTTCCACTGCTCCTGGACCGGCCCCTACTCCGCCGTCTTCCGTGCCCCGCCTCACACGCAGGTGGGTGCCCCGGGGATCCCCCCCAACCCAGCCCAAGCCCCGTAACCACCCCACCCTCACACCTGCCTCCCCCCTGCAGCGACGGCTCCTTGGGGGAGTGGGTGCCGGCGGCCAGCCACCACGGCCGGTTCAGTGCCAGCTTTGTGGATCCCTCATTCTGCCCCTTTGCCGAGGAGCTGCACCCGCTGCAGCTGCAGCTGGAGGGGCTCTCGGACACCTCCTACCTCAACTTCTCCATCCACTTCTTCGTCCGTGACATCGGTGAGCTCCGAGCGGCGGTGCTGGGGTTCAGGGGTGTCCCATGAGGGGCTCAGCCCAGGGCTGGGCAGCGCTGCCCGTGCTGAGCCCCGCTCTGCCCGCAGTGCGGCCCGACCCGCCACAGGAGCTGACCGTGCAGCGCCGGGGGGAGCAGCTCCACCTGGCCTGGGCCCCCCCGGCCTCCTGGCCGCTCCCCCGGTCTTACTTCGCCCTGCGCTACTGGCTGCAGTACGAGCTCCCCAACGGCACCCAGGTAACTGCGGGATGCCCGTGCCCAGCCTGCCCCCGCCCCGTGTCACCCCACATCCTCGCTCCGCTGCGCCCACCCTGCCCCAGCCTCTGCTCTTCCCTCCGCCCGGGGCTGCCAGTGGGAGCGGGGACTTGCCAGGGGCTCAGCAATGTCCCCCTCCCCGCTACACACCGCTTCCCTCCTTGGGGCGGGGAATTGTCACTCCTGGCTGTTGCCTCCGCTGCCCCCCCCCCCCCCCCCCCCCCCCCAGCGCTGCCCACGCCAGGCAGCGTCACTGCCTGGTGTCCCCCACTCCTGAGCCCCCAGCGCCAAGCGCTGCTCCTGCCGTGTCCCACCTTCCCCGCAGCAGTGCCCGTGCCGGCTGCCCCCCCGCCGCGGTGCCGGGGTGCTCCCCGAGGCCGCGACCTGCCCCCGCTTTGCAGGTTGACAAGTACGTGGAGGGCGCGGAGGAGACGCGGCTGCGGGCGCGCGCGCGGCGGGTGCGCATCAGCTGCCAGGACCCCTACGCCAAACCCGCCTGGAGCCCCTGGACTGCCTGGCAGGGCGTCGATGTGACCCAGCAGCGCCAGCTCCGAGCGCGCTGACCCCAGCACGGACGCCCCCCCCTTCCCCTTCGCACCCGTCCCCGACCCCCACTGCACCTCCACGTGCACGGGCACACGCAGGGCGGGGGGGCTGGGGGGCACCCCCAGGTGCGGCAGCCATAGCCCCCCCTCCACCAACCTTCCCATTCTCTTGTACGGTTTGGAAGAGGCTTTTGGTCTCTGTTAAAGAGCTGGGCTTGGCTTTACTACAACAAACCTCGGTTAATCTTTGTGTGGGGTGGGGGGCGTTGGGCCGCCCGGCCTCCGCGGGCTCCAGCTGGGCGCTCCGCAGGCAGGGCTCCTGCCTGCCCTTCTGCTCAAGGTTCCAGACTGGCCCCTGCCCCATGGCGGGGGTCACAGGCTTGTGCAAGGCCCCCGCTGCCCCACAGCTCCCTGAGGGACCCGCCCGCTCCCTGCCAGCGCTGGGCCTGGCCCGGGGGGTCCTTATGCACTGCTGAAAACAGACGTGTAACACACGCACCTGCACACACGCTCCAGCCCGGCTCAGTGGCTGTACCCAGCACTGGCCCGGGTGGGGGGGTCCCCACGGCCCCACCCAGCTGTCTGCCAGCGCACACGGGTGCCCCAGACCCCCCTATTCCTCATCAAACCTCCACCCAGATCTGCCCCTTTTCTGGGGGCTGCGGTGGGGGCAACATCCACAGCCCCAGGGGCAGCACATCCCTGCTGGGGTGCTGCCCTACACCAAGGGGGCACACCCTGGGGGACAGCACCTCATCCCCACATCCCAGGGGGCACGATCCCTGCCTGACCTCAGGAACGCCGGTCCCAGGGCAGGACACAGCCACAGTGGGGGGATCAGAGACCACCCATCAGCCCGGGGGGGCTCAGTCCCCTCCACCACGTGTCCGTGGCTCAGCCCCCACGATGTGCCCCACTCGGCACCCCTGTGGGGTGCCCAGCCTGGGGGCAGGGGGCTTCGGCCAGGTGGGAGGGAGCCAAGACCCTGCAGCCAGGCAGCCCCCGAGGGACACAGCCCCGGCACCCACGGAGCCATCCCGCCCCCCGCCTCTGCTGCAGACCCCGAGAGCGCAGCAGGGTGCCCCCGCTGCCGGGCCCAGCTGGGGGACACTGCCCCCACCCCCGACAGGCCAGGTCCAGGTAATGCCACGGGGCTTTATTGAGGTGCTTCCACGCGGGCCGGGGCCGGGACCCCAGCCCCGCTGCTGCTCCGGAGAGGCTGGTGAGAGTGTGCGGCCCCGTGGGCGCTGCCCTCCTGGGGGGCCGGGGCCTCCTGGGGTGGGGGGTCTGGGGAACCTGGGGGTCCCAGGAGTCCGGGAGGGCCCATGGCACAGCAGGACAGGAGAACCGGGGGTCCAGAGGGATCCAGAGGGTCCAGGGGTCCCACGGCCGGGGTGTCCGGGGGGCGAGCGGGGGGCTCAGGGGACCCCGAGGCGCACAGGTCTGGGGGCCCGGGCGCGGGGTCCCGCAGCGGGGCGGGGGGTCCCGGTCACGGCAGGCCCAGGCAGCCCAGGCGCAGCTCTTCGCCCTCCAGCATCTCCCTGCAAGAGACAGGCCCGGGCTGAGCCCCGCGCCCAGCCCGCGCCCCCCGCCCCCCCCCCCGCGTACCGGTACGCGGCGATCTCCGCCTCCAGCGCCATCCGCAGCCGCAGCAGCGCCGGGTACTCCCGCAGGCACCGGGCCATCTCCGCCTCCGCCTCGCCGATCTCCCGCTCCAGCTCCGCCACCCGCTCCTGCCGGCCGGGCCGTCAGCAACGCCCGGGACCCCCACCCCGACCCCCGCCCGCACGGGTCCCCCTCCCCAGCCCCCCCCCGCCCAGCCCCGGCACGACCCCCGGTCCCCTGCCCCACTTGTACGTGCCCTCCCCGGTTCCATCCGGATCCTCCGCCCCTCACCCCATAACCCCACCCAGACCCCTGTCCCCCCTCCCCCGGCCCATCCCGACCCCCTTCCTCCCGCCCCCCCGGAGCCCTGTCCCCCCCTCCCCGCCTCATCCTGACCCCCATCCCATAAACCTCCCCAGACCCCTGTCCCCCCTCCCCAGCCCCATCCCGACCCCCTTCCTCCCGCCCCCCCGGAGCCCTGTCCCCCCCTCCCCGCCTCATCCTGACCCCCATCCCATAAACCTCCCCAGACCCCTGTCCCCCCACCCCAGCCCCATCCCGACCCCCTTCCTCCCGGGCCCCCGCCCCCCCTCCCCAGCCCTCCGTCCATCCAGGCCCCGCACCAGCCCCACCCGCTGCCTCGGCTCCCCCCTTAGCAAAACCCGCCCCCTCCCTTCCTCACCCCCCGGTTATCTGCCCCCCGCCCAAACCGCCCGGGCCCCCCCCGCACCTGGTACTTGGCGAGCTCCCCGCTGCGCCGGTCCCGCAGCCCCTCCAGCCGCCGGTGCAGCGCGCCCACGGCCCCGCGCAGCGCTTCCACCTCGGCAGCGCGGGCGCGCAGCAGCCGCCGGTACCCGGCAGCCTCGGCACGGGCGCGGAGCACCGCCTCGCCGCCCCCCCGGCACCGGGGCCGGCCCTCGGCCGCGCTCATCCCGGCGGCTCTGCGGCGGTTCCGCCCCCCCAACCCCCGACCCCTCCCCGGTAAAACGGGGCAGCGTCACGGAACCGCAGCCAATCCCGCCGCCCGGGAACCGGCACCGGTTGCCCGCCTCCTCCCGGTAGCAGCGGGGCGGGGAGAGCGGGGGACGGGGGCGGCAGGAGCCTGCCCCGTGTCCGCGGCACAGCGGGCTCCTGCCGCCCCCCCCCCGGCAGCCTCGGCGGCACCACGGACAGCGGCGGAGGGGGGGGCGGGGGGAGTCAAGGTCAAGTTTAGGGTCAGGGTCGTCGCTATTGCCCCCCCTGCCCTCTGTTATCAACCAGGGACCCCCGGCTGGAGCCCAGCCGGGGGTCCCGGTGACCCTGCATTGGCAGAGGCCGGGGGGCAGGGCAAGGGACGGGGGTCCCTGGCCAAGCCTGGGGACACTCAGGGGGTCACTGGGGAATGGGGGGGCAGACATTTGCTGGAGGAGGGGGGATTTCAGCCCCCCGTGGGCCCCTCTGCCTCCCCACGAGTGTGCTGTGGGTCACACAAGGTCTGGTCTGACCCTGGGCAGCGTGGGGGGAGGTGAAGGGCATCCCAGGAGACAGAGACTTGGGGGGGGACAGGCATGAGGGCAGCCCCTCTTGGAGGTGGGGGGGGGGGGCTGGTGCAATCCTTCGGCATGCAGAGGCACCCCGAGTCCATCACAGGGTGCAACGGGGGCACGTCCAGGCCCAGGGCCGCAGAGAGCCGGCAAACCAGTGGGTGTGGAGCCCAGGAGCGCCAGGGAGCCCAGTCCGTCAGTCTGTCCCACCGCTGGGGGGGCCAGGGGTCACGGGGTCGAGCTCCTCGCCCAGCCCGGGGCCGCAGCTGGAAGCCGGAGCCGGCAAACTCCGACCAGGATAAGGCAAGTGTGTGTGGGTGGTGCAGACCCCGCGGTGGGCGCCAGCGAGGGCGAGGGGGCACTCCTGACACTGGGAATGGGGGCGTTCACCCTGTGCCCCGCCCTGGGTGGGACGGGGGCTGCAGCTGCCCTGGGGGGAGCAGAGCCTGGCACGGCCGGGAGAGCCACTGATGGGTGGGCAGCAGGTCCTGAGCAGAGACCACCCGAGGAGCTGCCCTGGGGACGGAGCGGGGCTGGACTTGCAGAGGCCCTCAGGGTGGGGGGGCCCGGGAATGGGCTCCCCAGGAGGTCCGGGCAAGGGGCTGCCCGCAGCGGTGCGCCAGGCAGGGGTCCCCGCGGGGGTCAGCAGAGCTTTGAGTCCGAGCGCAGGTGCCCGTCCACCCTCCCCGAGGGGGGACCAGGGGGGGCTGGCCTGTGGCAGAGAGGGGGCTGCCGATGGAGGGGGGCTCCCGGGAAGCAGCAGCCCCCTCCCTGTCACAGGCTGGCGGTGCCGGGCTCAGACCCCACCGGGCTCCCACCGCACATCCACGGCTCCCGGGGCACCTCACACCATGGAGGCCACCCCCGAGACGGACGTCACCTTGTTGTCCTCAGCCCAGGGCTGCAGGTTCTGCAGGGCGTACAGGGAGGAGTTGTGCATGCAGAGCGGGTCCTGGGGCAGCGGCTGGCTCAGGCTCTTCTGGAAGGCCTCTTGCTGCAGGTGCAGCATCAGCCGGTTGGCCTGCTGGCGTTCCGCCTCGCGCTCCTCCGCCGTCTGCCTCCTGCCACACACAGCCCGTCCGGCACTGCCCCACACCTGCTGCCGGCCCCGCTCTGTGCCGCTGTGGCACTGCCCCACAGCCCCGTCCCTCTCTCGGCCCCGCTCTGTGCCGCTGTGGCACTGCCCCACAGCCCCGTCCCTCTCTCGTTCCCGCTCTGTGCCGCTGTGGCACTCCCCCACAGCCCCGTCCCTCTCTCGGCCCCGCTCTGTGCCGCTGTGGCACTGCCCCACAGCCCCGTCCCTCTCTCGTTCCCGCTCTGTGCCGCTGTGGCACTGCCCCACAGCCCCGTCCCTCTCTCGGCACCGCTCTGTGCCGCTGTGGCACTGCCCCACAGCCCCGTCCCTCTCTCGGCCCCGCTCTGTGCCGCTGTGGCACTGCCCCACAGCCGCCACCCCACAGCCCGTCCCTCTCTCAGCACCGCTGCAGCAGTGCCCCACAGCTTCTGCCCTGCAGCCCGTCCCTCCCCTGGCACTGCCATGCCTCACCCAGCTGGGCACGGGGGATGCAGCGGGGATGGGTACCCCATCTCCCTCCAGCCCAGCCTCTCCCGGGGGGCACAGCCACGGTGGGGGGTGGCTGCCAGAGGGAAGCAGGGGCTCAGAGCTGTGCTGGCTGCCCCGGGGCTGCCCCGGTTACCTCCACTTGGTGCGGCGGTTCTGGAACCAGGTCTTGACCTGGGCATCCGTCATCTTGAGGGCCTTGGCCAGGGTGGCGCGCTCGGCCGAGGCCAGGTACTTCTGCCGGTGGAAGCGCTTCTCCAGCTCGCAGATCTGCACCCGGCTGAAGGACGTGCGCGGCTTCTTCCTCTTGGGCGGCGTGCGGTTCTGGTAAGGGTGCCCGATCCGCCGGGTTGCCGCAAAGGGCGACAGCGCGGCTGTGGGGCAGAGGCGGGGTGAGGGGCTGCTCGGGGGAGCCAGGGGCGCGGCGCGGGAGCCGGGGGGGAGGCTTGGCTGCTCGCGGGGGCGGGGAGCTCCGGGGGGGCCGCCAGCGCTGCGTGGCAGAGAGCAGGGGAGGAGGAGACCCCGAGCCACCCCCACCCGCTCCCCCAGCCCAGGGACACGCAGGGCAGCTCAAGATGTGGCGGGAGAGCCCATCTGCACCCCACGGCCACGGCCCCACGGCTCCCCCAGCCTGGCAGGTGGGGACCAGGGCCAACGGGGCGGTGCGGCAGACCCGGTCCCAGGGCCGGTGTGGGGCCGGAAAGGCTCCCGGCACCACAAACCCCATGCCCTGGGCCCTGCCGCAGCCCCGGGGGAGCCTCCGCGGCACTGCCGGGGCTTCCCAGCCCTCCCGGGGTGGGGACAGCACCCCAGAAGCCGTCGGGAGGCAGATGGCATCTCCCTGCATGTGCCGGCAGCATCCGGGCCGGCTGCTGCCTGGGTGCTGGGGGCTGGGGAAGGGGCTGTCCCGGCACGGCGAAGCCGGCATGCCAGATCCCAGCCGCGGAGGCAGTCGGAGCCGCAGGGAGAGTCAGGGCGGCGTGGAGGAAAGTGAGAGTTTGGTGGGGTGCAACCCCCGGCTCCCCGCTCCCCTCCCTTTCCGGCAGCGGCCCACGGCCAAGCCACGGCCCCACGGCACCGCGACCCTCGCCGGTGCCGGCACCACGCGGGCTGGGCTGCACATGGCCGGGCCCACCGGGCTGCCATGGGGCCCCGGCACCCCATGCTGCAGGGATGTGGGGCAGCCCCGGGGGACAGCTGGGCGCCCAGCAGACCCTCCCCGCGATGCCAGACCCTCCCTCCCTCCCGGCAGCACCCAGGCGGGCGGCGCGAGCAGGAGGCCAGGCTGCCCGCCGGCGGGGGCGGACGCGGTTGACGCAGGTGGAGCCGCACAGTCGGGGGGGACGGAGGCCCCCGCGCCCCCTCCCCACGCGGGGCGGCCCCTCGCCGGGAACAGATGCCGACAGCCCGCAGACCACCCCAAGGCCGGTGGTGCTGAGTGATGGCTGCGGCTGGGAGACCCCGTGCCGGGGAGGGGCCGCCCCGTCCACCCACCGCTGGCGCCAGGCAGGAGACGGGGACGTCACCCACCACCCCTGCACGGGGACGGTGCTTCGTCACCGCTGGGATGGCGGGGTGGGCCGGGAGGTGAACCCGGCGCTGCTGGCGCCCAGGCTGAGCCCCCCGCGGCCCCCGGCCTCCCGCCCCCCATGGCCTCATCGCCTCTGCGGCCAGTGCTCGGCCCCCCGGCCCCACAGAGCCCCCAGACTCGGCCCCACATGGAGCCGTGTGCTGCGGACGTGGCAGCGCCGCCATCTTGGGAAGGAGCCGAGCCGAGCCGAGCCAGGCCAGGGCCCCCCGGCACCCACACGCGCCCCCCATGCCGCCACGGTGCCCAGCATCGCAACCACAGCACCCTGCGCCTTCTCCTCTGGGGTGCAGCAAGCAGCACCCTCATCCCAGCGCTGGGCGCTCCAGCCCCCGCCGTGGGCGCTCAGCCCCCAGCCCCGCCAGGACCCCGCACCGCCGCCCCGACACCTGCCTCGCCACCCGCCCTCTCCCTCGGCGCCTTGTGCCCACCCCCACACACACGGGTCTCAGAGCCCTCTCCCCACACACCCCACAGCCGGGCCCCGCAGGCACCCCCCACCGCCTGCCCCAGTCCCCAGGGGCACACAAGGGACAGGAGCACCAGCTCCCCACACCCAGCCCCACAGGGTTTTTGCCCTGCAGCCCCGCAGCTCCTGGCAGAGCCCCCTCCCCGCACCCCGGCTCCCCGCACCCCCGTTGTGGGTGGGACGGGGTCGGCACCCAGCGCCCCCGGGCCTGGAGAAGGGACCAGGCACGGAGCGGAGCCCGAGGCCGTGGCGGGAGCCCTCGGGCACCGCTCAGAGCCAGACCCGGTCCCGGCCCCCGCCCGGAGCCGCCGGGAGCCGGAGCGGGGCCGCAGCGGAGCTGCCGGTAACCGTGCCAGCCCCAAGCCGCTCCCCGCGGGCCCCGACGGCGGCCGCTTCCCGGCGGAGCGGGGCGGGGCGGGGCGCGGCGGGCGGCGGGCGAGGACCCGGCGCTGCGGGAATCCCCCCCCCCGCTCCGCTCCGCTCCGCTCCCGCCCCGACCCCGCTCCGCGTCCGCCGCGCCGCCGGGAGCCGTCGGAGCCGCCGGGAGCCGCCGGGAGCCGTCGGGAGCCGCCGGTAGCCGTCGGGAGCCGGCCCGCGGCGCTCACCTGAGAGCCGGTCCTTGGCGATGCGGCGCGTCGTCTCCATCCAGGGGAAGGTGAGCCCCGGCAGCCCGGGCACCGGCGGCGGCGCGGCGGGAGGCGCGGCGGGCGCGGGCCGGTGCGCCGGGACGCGGATGACCCCGGCGGGTGGCGCGGCGGGCGCGGGGGTCACGTTGACGCTCACGTTCATGCTCATGTTGAGGTTGTAGGAGCCGAGCGAGCAGGCGGGGCCGTAGCCGCCGCCGTAGAGCCCGTAGTCGGGCTCCCCCGCCGCCCGGGCCGGCCCCGCGCCGCCGCCCGCGGGGTCGGGGCCACCGAGGATCTGGTCGATCCCGAAGCTGATGGGCTCGTGGGGCGGGGGGCCCTGGCCGCCGCCCTCCCGCGCCAGCGCCGCCGCCTCCATCGCCCGGCCGCGCTCAGAGCCGGCGGGGCGCGGGCATGGCCGGGGGGCGGCGGGGGGCGGCGGCGGCGGCGGGAGCGGCGGGAGCGGGGGCGGCGGGAGCGGGGCGCCCGGTGCGGGCCCGGCGGGGCTGGGGCCGGGTGCGGGGCCGGGTGCGGGGCCGGGTGCGGGGCCGGGTGCGGGGCAGGGTGCGGGGCAGGGTGCGGGGCAGGGTGCGGGGCAGGGTGCGGGGCCGGGTGCGGGGCCGGGTGCGGGGCAGGGTGCGGGGCAGGGTGCGGGGCATGGCCCGCGGGAGCGCGGGTGCGCGGCGGGCCCCGGCGGCGCGCGCTTTTCTGCCCCGCTCCATCTGGACCTGCCAAAATCCCGACCGCCCGCGCCCTGATTGGCGGCCGCGCCCCGTGACCGACAGCCCCGCACCCCCGGGGGCGGGGGCTCGCGCATCCCGGGGCCCCGCCCCGCCACCGGGCCTCCCCCCCACCCCCCCTCCCCGCCCGGCCTGCCGGGGCTCCCGCACCGGCTCCGGCCCGGACGGGCGGCCCCGTCGCGCCCCGTCGCGCCCCGCACGGCTCCGAGACGCCCCCGGGCCCGGTTCCCCGCCGCCGGGGCGGCCGCCCGACGTCCCCCGGCTCGCAGCAGCGAGGGGGCGGCGCGGGGTACCGGACGGACGGGCAGCGCTGCTCCGCGCCCCGGCGCAGCCCCGGCTCCGCCCGCAGCCCCGGCGGGAGGCTCCGGCGGCGTCGGGGCTCCCAGCCGGGGCCCCCCAGCCTCCCGGGCGGACATGGCTGCGCGTCCCGGGGCGCACGGAGCGGGCCCCGGCGCCGTTATCCCGGGGCGCACGGACCGGCACCACGCCCGCCGCTCCCGGGGGGCGCAGGCTTCAGCCCCCGGAGCCGCCGCTGCCCGGGAGCACCGAAACCGTCCACCACGGAGCGAGCGGACCCCGCGGCCACGGGGCCGCCGCTCCCGGGACACGGACCCGGGGTTCGCCCCGATCCGCCGGTCCCGGCGCACGGACCCATCTGCCGTTCCCGGCGGTGCGGAGCCCACTTTCCCCGACCGGCCGTTCCCACGACACGGACCCATCCGCCGTTGTCGGTAGCAGGGACCCGCGCTCCCGGGGACAGGGATCCTGGTTCCCTCGACCCTCCGTTGCTCGTAGCGTGGACCCCGGTTCCCAGGAACCCACCGTTCCCGGAACACCGACCTCAGTCGCACCGACCAGCCGCTCCCGGGCCAGGGATCCCGTTTCCCTCGGACCCGCTGTTCCCGGTAGCACTGACCCCATTTTCCCCGGAACCGCCGTTCCCTGGTGACGGATCCCGGTTCCCCCGACCCGCCGTTCCCGGGCATGGACCCCAGACCGGCCCCGTCGGGACGCTCGTACCTGGCTCGCAGGAGCGGGCCCGGCTGCAGCCCCACCGGCGGCCGGTATCGGCCCGCGGAGAGCAACACGGGCCAGGCCGGGGCTCCCGGCGACTATCGCGACAGCCGCGCCGCCAGCGGTGGGTACGGCCCGTGGGGTGCGGCTGTGGGGCGGCCCCGCGGGTCGGTCCCAGCGGCTGCCGGGATGGGGGTCACGACACCCGGGCGGGCAGGGGGTCGGGGCGGCGGGTCACGGCTCCGGACCAGGGACCGGGGGGGAGGCGAGGGGGGCGGGGGGCGGCCGCCCGGCCACCCTGGCGCCACCGGTCTGGGGAAAATGACATTACCGGGGCCTGCGCCTGTAAATCACGCCGGCACCGGGAGCTGCAGCTGCCGCACCCGGGGGGCACCGGGGGGCCCCGGGCTCAACCGGACCCGCTGCGCTGGGGGGTGACCGTCCCCGCAGCCCCTCCGGGGCGTGGGGCCACCGGCACCCAGGGCTGCATGGGCGCCCACTCGCCCGGCAGCGTGGGGTGGCAATGCACAAACATGCAGACCACCAGCGGCGTGCCCACGCGTGTGTGCTCAGCCCACGGCACGGCACAGCCGCACACGCACACAGACACGCTGCACGTCACGGATGCACGCGTATACACGCACACGCTCACACACACCCTCCCCACACACACACCCCCCGGGGCACGGCACAGCTACACGGGCCTGCACAGCACCAGTGTGCACACGCACACACACCTCACACTTCAGCACAGCCGCACTCGCGTGCACAGCCCCCACTGCTCGGTGTTTATGCACACCCACGCACACACGTGGAGACGGGCGCACACACACGTCCGTCCCCACCAGGCCCTGGACGGGTGCACGCTCGACCCTCGGGCCGTGCCGATCCGGGCCGGGCCGGGCCGGGCCGTACTCGCATCCCTCCGTAGCACCGGGCAGGCTCGGAGCTGCCCCTTTCCATCCCGGGGGGCACGACCCTTCCTGCTGCTCCCGAGGGAGCCCCGTGCCGCGGGTGGGGGTCCCCGTGTGCCAGCACCGGGACCCTGCCCTGACGGGGGCCCTACGGCTGAGCCCCGGGAATTTACCGGCATTTCTTGCCCGTGGCCTGGCAGGTGCCGGGAGAAACCTGCCCGGTGCTCCTGCCGCTCTCCCCAGCCGGGCAGAGCCACCGGCTCCGGGCCCGCCGCGGCGGAGGGGCTCGCCGTGGCCCAGCGGGGCGCAGCCAGCGCTGGCACTGCTGCTGGCACTGGTGCTGGCACCGGCACCGGTGCTGGCCCAGGCCCCATCGGCGCCTGCCCCGGCCCGGAGCGGTGGCGGGGAGGAAATGCCTGGTGCTGGGGGAGGGAGGCGGCAGCAGGTTAATTAAACCTGGAGCAGGAGGCAGATGTTTGCCGTGCCCAGGGGCTGGAATGCTGCCGGTCCCGGGAGATGGATTGGGGGGCAGGTGACGGGGCCGGGGGCGGCGCGGGCTCACACGGCGCCTGCCATGGTCCGCCCCGCGCCCACGGGGGTCTGCCGGGCGGCAACCCCCCGCCGGGGCCTCGCCGGGTGGGTGCTCGTCCCGACCCCCGCTCAGGGCACTCCGCAGGTGGGGTCTGGGGCCGGCACCACCAGGCAGGGAGTGGGGCTGGGGCAGGGACCCCTGCCCGGGCCCCTCCGGCAGCGCGGGTGGGGTCACCCCAGGATGGCGCGGAGCGGGGACACCCCCGAGGGCTCACGGAGACGGGCTGAGAGTGCTGGGGGAGTGGGTGAGGGCCGTGCCACCCCGGCTCTGGGTGCAGGGGGTCACCCGTCCGGGGACCCAGCTGGCCGCGGGGCCCCCAGCTGCCACCTCCTCCTGCCGCTGTCCCTGTGTCCCCTCGGGCCACCGGCAGCCGGGATGAGGTCGTGTCCCCGTGCCTGCTCCCGAGGTCCCCAGAACCGCTGTGCAGCCCGAGGCGGGGGGGGCCCAGCAGGGTCCTGGCCCCCCCGGGTCCCTGCGGCTCTGCCCCCAGGCTGGGACTGCGCGGCCAGCGAGGTCTCTGGCACGGGGACCCCCACGCACCTGCACTGGGAGGAGGGGGCTGGGACGACCCGGTCCAAACCTGCTCCTCATTTCTCAGCCACGGCGAGCACCCCGTGGGCCCCGGCGTGGGCCCCCTCCTGCCCTGCGGGGCTGGACCTGGGAGTCCCTGCGGGGCGCGGGGGACGCGTCCCCACGCCGGGGCAGGAGCGTGGCACCCGGGTGGGGGGGACGTGGCAGAAGGGGCGTGTAGGAAATCGACCTTCGGGAAAACGACCCAGCATCCCACCGCCTCGGGCCCCCCCCGCCATCCTGGGCCCCCCCGGCCCTCGGCACGTCCGCCCTGGGAGGCCGGGGGGGGAGTGGGGGTGTGGGCACACGAGGGTCCGGCTTCGCGGTGCCGTGTCCCCGCGGGCCGGCCGGGCCGGTGTCCCCGTCCCCCGCGGGCGCTGCTGCCGGGCTCAGGTGTCGGTGCCGGGGCAGGAGTCATTAACTCGGGTCCCCGCCCGCCCCTCCTCGCCGGCAGCCCCCCCCCCGCCCGCCGGCCAGCGCGCAGCAATTAAGCGGCGGAGGCCTGGAAGGGCCCCACGTTACCACCGGCAAGATGCTGCCAAGCCGCCCGCTCCCGCCCGCTCCCCCCCGTAATCTCATTACCGCTGGACGTCCCCTTCTTCCTCCCGCTTCCCCCCAAACCCGCTGGCAAACTGTAGGGACAGTCAGCTCCTCTCTGGCTGCTGGGTTAATTCTGGGCTAATTAGATGAAGCCAGCCCAGATTGGATTACTTTAGCCTGCATTTGGTCCTCCAGTCCTTGGCTTGCGGCTCCCGGGGGAGCTGCTGGCGCCTCCTGCCTCAATCAGACACTTCTTAACCGCATGAAACACTCCCGGTGCCCCCCGCCGCCCGCCCCGGGGTGGGCGCCGGCACCCGGCCGGGGTGTGCGGGGTGACGCGGGTGGCACGCTCCCCCCCGCGACCCACCGAGAGACCGGGGACGGGCCCGGGACGGGGCCGCCGGGGCAGCGCGGGCAACACCGTGCGCGGCGAGTGGCGGCTCCGCCGGCCGGCCCGCGGGCTACCGGGGCCCCGCCGGTCGGAGCCGCCCCGGCCGGAGATCACGGAGGCCGCCGGCGTCTGCGCGGGGTGCTCGGGGAGGAGCTCGGTGCGACGGGGACCCACGGGCGGCTGCGGGGTGACGCCGGCCCCGAGCTGCCGGGGGGCTGTGCCCTGACGGGTGTCCCCAGGCTGCAGCCCCCCCGAGGTGGGGGACAGCGGAGCCGGGGATCCGGGCAGCCCCCTGCCCCAGCGGGAGCTGCGAGGCCGGGCTGGCGGTGCACCCCCTGCAAACCCACCCGCCGTGCCCGGCTACGGCAGCTCCGGGGGGCTGGGAGCAGCGGTCGTGGGGCGGTCGGGGTCGGGGGTAGCTCTGGCAGCGGTTGCTGCCGTGCCCGTGGTTGCACCTCGCCGGCTTGGGGGGGGGGTCGTGGGGAGCCCTGCGGGGGGGGGCACCCGCCATGGCCAGCGCCGACATTACCAGGGCGGTAGCCGAGCCTCCAGGCCTTCAGCGGGGCGGTGGCGTGGCTGGGTGGGGGGCCGGCCGGGTGATGGAGAGGGGAGCGGGAGGGAGTGCTGGGGGGCGGGGGCAGGAGGACGGTCCC